GCCCCGCTCCGCCCGCAGAAGTGCCTGCGCCCTGGATCCCGGCCGCACCCGTTGTGGACCGCCAAGCAGCGCGGGCTTTGCGCGCTCAACCACAGCCTCCAGGACGCGCTCAACTACGGGCTCTTCCAGCCGCCCTCCCGGGGCCGCGCGGGCAAGTTCCTGGACGAGGAGCGGCTCCTGCAGGAGTACCCGCCGAACCTGGACACGCCCCTGCCCTACCTGGAGGTGAGCGGCGGCCCGGCGCGGCCTGGGCGGGAGGAGGGCGCGCGTGGTGCGACCACTGAGCTCCGAGGCGTGAGCAGTTCGTGTGGGAGCGGGGGCTTTGTGTGCAGGGAGCGATGTGAATTGTGTGTGCGGTGCGTGCAGCGAGCCGTGTGGTGTGTGGTGTGTGTGTGCAGGGAGTAGTGTGCGGGCCTGCAGTCAGCAGCGTGTGCGGTGGGAGCCCAGAGCGTGCTTCCAGGGGTTGGGGTGCGAGCAGGGGTGCGCCCAGAGCGCGTGTGGAGTAAGCCAGCGCGTTGTCTGTGTGTCGTCAGCCCCCTCCCGGGAGTCTGTGAAGGCAGACCTAAGCCGTCCTCATTTGCTCGCCCATTCGTGCTGTAAAGGCCAGCAGTGCCCTGTCAGGCAGGGGTACAGACACGTGGTTTGGGCGGAGGGATGCCAAGTGCAGTGAACAATGAAATAAGCGTTATGGTAGCTGAGCTCCGACTTGGCTTGGCCTCGGGGGTGGCCCAGGGTCAGTTCTGCTCAGAGAGCGGGTGTCAGGGAAGGGAAGCCTGAATCCAGGTCTTGGAAGAGGAGCGGGGTTTTCCAGGGAATCCTGGGGGCAGGAATGAGACAGAAAGCCCACTGCAGGCCGCGGACAGCTAGGCGAGGCGTGTGTCCCTCTGAGCTGGTGGGCTCTGTGCCCATGGTGGTGGGGGTGGATCTGTGTGGCTGGCGAGAGGGGTTCTGTGCTGAGGGGGGTGATCCGCCTGAGGCCTGAGCCGCAGAGGTAAGCAGGACGTGGTTTTGTGCGAGCGCTCACTCGGCCCAGGAGGATGCCTTTCCCTGCCTTGTTTTTCCCCCCGAGCAGTTTCGCTACAAGAGGCGAGTGTATGCCCAGAACCTCATCGATGATAAGCAGTTTGCCAAGCTTCACACGAAGGTAAGGAGGCAGCCATGCGGCTTCGGCTCAGCCTGTTTTGTCCCGTGGTCAGGGGCCCAGAGCAGGGGTGGGGGCTGGAGGGCTGGGCAGACTCCAGGCCTCACAGGTCTGGGGTAGGTGGTCGGTGCTGGGTTCTGGTAGGATCAGAACCTCTGGCCCACCCTGGCTCAGGAGGATGCAGTGCGATGGGGCACATGCCTTGGTGAGAACCTGGGGTGGGGGAGGGGAGAGAAGTGAACAAGCACCGCCATGGTCTCTGGGGGAGAGGGGATCACTCCGTGGTCACCAGGGCTGCGCACTTGGAATCAGGCATCTCGTTAGTTCCCTCCGGGCGGGGGCTGTCACCCTGTGTGGCACCGGAAGGTACTGAGTCCTGAGCAGTTAAGTGCCTTGCTCACTGTGCGGCCAGTGAAGCTGGGCTGAACCCACATCTGTCTGACTCGGGGGCCGGGCCGGGACACCCCTGTGGGTCACTACCGGATGCCATTGCTAGGGGGCACCTTGCTGCTTCCTCTGAATGCGGGAGGGGCAGGGTAGTGCTATGGGCCCTCCCCACAGGTGGACCCCTGAGCTCCCACCTCAGGTTCCCATGAGCCAGGGGATGTTTGCTTGCTGGACACTTCTCTGGAGCCTAGACGAGCTCCAGTGACCCCTCTGTGTCCCAGTGACCCCTCCATGACCTTGGCGTCTCCATGCCAGACTTCTCTGCTGCCCAGAGCACGTGGTGGTCAGCGACGTGACTCTGGCTGCAGAGACTATTGGGGCCCCTTTGTGACCCTGTTACCCCGGTTCCTCCCATGGTTACTTCTCCTCCAAAGTCCCACAGGATACTGGTGACTCCTTTTTTTTTTAAAATATATTTTTATTGATTTCAGAGAGGAAGGGAGAGGGAAAGATAGATAGAAGCATCAATGATGAGAGAGAACCATTGATCGGCTGCCTCCTGCATGCCCCACACTGGGAATTGAGCCTGCAACCTGGGCCTGTGCCCTGACAGGAATGGAACTGTGACCTGGTTCATAGGTCGATGCTAACCACTGAGCACCGCTGGCCGGGTGACACTGGCGACTCTTGCTCTTCAGTGAGCCCTCCTTGTTTTTGGGATGAGTTTCAACCTCATACCACGGCCCTGTGTCTCCTCCTGCCTGGGCTCCAGCTGCCCCACCCTGACACCACCCACCCTGGATCCGGCTGAGGCCTCTCCCTCAGTCGTTCTGAGCAGCCTGAGGAGGCCCCTCCTGTGGAGTGGTCCCCGTGCTGCCCTCTCCCGTTTCTGGTGTGCTTGCGTGTTTCCAACCGGGCACCTGCCTGTGCACGAAGCTTCTGTAGCAGCAGGGACTCGGGGACTTTGCTGGGCAAGGTCCTGGCACAAGCGGGGCCACCTGCGGGTGGAGAAGACCCTGGGAGGTCTGCCAGGGGGCGAGCACATGTGGAATATGGGCCAGGGAAGAAACAGGCCACCTTAGGCCCCCTAACAGAGCCCTGATGGGGACGGGGGGTGGGTGGGCTGGTCCTTGCCTGGGTGGCCTTGAGGCGCTAGTATCAGGCGAGGAGCCGGGGCAGCGTGGATGCTCCCCAGGAGGCCTGAATCTGGCTGTTGGAAGGTGGGTGACGGCCCGATGATGGTGGTTGTGATGGGGCTGACCAGGATGGCCGGGTGTTCCAGGCGAACCTGAAGAAGTTCATGGACTACGTCCAGCTGCACAGCACAGACAAGGTGGCCCGCCTGCTGGACAAGGGGCTAGACCCCAATTTCCACGACCCTGACTCAGGAGGTGAGAAGCAGTGGGGGAAGGGGCATGGCTCTGGAGTGGCTGGAACATAACCTTCCTCTGTCCCTTGAACCTAGAGTGTCCCCTGAGTCTGGCGGCCCAGCTGGACAACGCCGCGGACCTGCTGAAGGTGCTGAGGAACGGTGGTGCCCACCTGGACTTCCGCACACGCGACGGGCTCACTGCTGTGCACTGTGCCACGCGCCAGCGGAACGCGGCGGCTTTGACGGTTAGTACCGGCGGGGCTGGGTCTGGAGGGGCATGTGGACCAAGATGGGGAGGAAGATGGGTCCAGCGTGGACACTGAGGCTCCTCGTCCTCAGACCCTGCTGGACCTGGGCGCTTCACCTGACTACAAGGACAGCCGTGGCCTGACGCCCTTGTACCACAGCGCCCTGGGGGGCGGGGACGCCCTCTGCTGTGAGCTGCTCCTCCACGACCATGCTCAGCTGGGGACCACTGATGAGAATGGCTGGCAGGAGATCCACCAGGTGGGCAGGGAGCCCTGTCAGGGGGGTGAGGTCCTGGGCTCTGTCGGGCGTAGGGGCATTTTCGGCTCTCTCTGCAGGAGTTGGGATTCCAGCCCCCCTGCAAGCATGGCGGTCCCGGGCTCTGTCAGAGGCCCAGCAGCACCCCCCTCTTCCCCTAGGCCTGCCGCTTTGGGCACGTGCAGCACCTGGAGCACCTGCTGTTCTACGGAGCTGACATGGGGGCCCAGAATGCCTCGGGGAACACGGCCCTGCACATCTGTGCCCTCTACAACCAGGTGTGACTGTAGGTGTACACGTGTGTGTGGGTACGGGTGATCCCGTGCAGTGACTACATGTGTGTACACGTCTGATCCGGTGTCCCTCCATGCTTGCTTGTTCTGCGTCTGCAGTGAGCTGTGGCCCTGCAGGCCTACGTGTGCATGTCTGTTTCCTGAACACACGTGTGTTCTGAATCGCAGGTGTGCATTGTATGCATCTGGGCCTCCTGGGCCAGATGGGACCTGGTGTGTACTCCTGCCCTGCTCCTCTCATGCCATGCATGTATGCTCTGAATGTGTGGGTGTGTGCTGTCACCCCATGACCCTCACTCCCACACTGCCAACAGGAGAGCTGTGCCCGTGTCCTGCTTTTCCGCGGCGCCAACAAGGATGTCCGCAATTACAACAGCCAGACGGCCTTCCAGGTACCAGAATGCGCAGGAGTGAGAAGCCGCTCCCGGGTGTCTGTCTCTTTGTGGCTAGACCTCTCTGGATCTTGGTTCTTCCCCGAGGCAATCTCCCCCGGGTGGGGTGGGGGACCGGGTGGCCAGCAGTGGGGGACTGACTGATGGGGGTGGTCACCGTGGTTGGTGAACTCTCACTTTCTGGGACAGGCGGGTCAGAGGGCTCTGGGGCCAGGGGAGAACAGGGGTGGGTCTGACCTTCCAGAGACTGGAGGGTGCAGAGGTGACGGGTCAGAAGGGTGGTCCCAGCTCCTGACTAACTTAGGTATGTTTCTGAGTCCTTTCTCTGGCCGGGTTTGGTTCTCGGCACCAGATGACTAGATGGAGGGGTGTCCATGTCGCCTGAAATGTGTGGGAGGAGTTGGGGACCACGGAGAGAGCTGGGGCCTACCGAGGAGATGTAGGGAGAGCAGGTCAGGCCTCCGTGCTATCCAGCAGGTGCCGAGATGGCCGTGGAGGGCCTGTGGGAGGACCAGATGCAGGGGCGAGGGAAGGGCAGAGGGAGGGTGACAGGAGGAGGCAGTGGGGAGCCATGGCTCAGAGAGGAAAGGTGGTGTGTGGAGGGACCATTGAGAGAATAGGTGGAGTGACCAGCATGCCCCTGTGTGCTCAGGGCTCTTCTGGTTTCAGCTCTGTGTCCCAGGACATCCCTCAGTCCTGGGCAGACTGGTGGGAGAGTTAGGTGAGGACAGGATCCGAACCTGGGGCCACCAACCCCCAAAGACAGGAGCCCCAGGAGCCACCGGGGCCCAGGATGGGGAGTGTGGTGTGGCTGAGCCTCCCCCGTCCTCCCACCCCAGGTGGCCATCATCGCGGGGAACTTTGAACTGGCGGAGGTCATCAAGACCCACAAAGACTCGGATGTCGGTGAGTTCTGCCCACCCCAGGTCCAAGTTGAAGGTGGGTTTGTGGGGGTTGTCTGGGGTCAGTGGGAACGTGACAAGGGAGCCCTCATGCCCTGAGCTGCTTCTTCCAGCCCTGGCTGCCAGCTGTGCTCTGTCCCGTGAGTCCATCTGTGGCCCCTGCAGGGCTGGGGAATGGGCTGAGGGAAGGGAAGGGCCTGTGCAGAGTGGACAAAGGGTCAGGGTCAAGGTCAATGTCAAGGTCAAGGGCATGGTTTTGTTGGGGCTGTTGGTTGGGGCCAGTGCTGGGTTTAGGGATCCTCTGAGGTTGAGAGGGGCTTGAAATTAGGGTCAAGGCTCGATTTCCCATTAGGTCAAGTGTAGGGCTAGCCGGGGGTATGGGACAGTGGCTGTGAGCCCCTGCCCACAGCAAGAATGAGCTTCAATGACAGGGTCACCCTCCCGTACAGGGTCACATCAGTGTGATGCAAGCACACAGGGATGAGGTGCTGTCCTCAGGGCCAGATGTGTGAGTGACTTGTGGTCCCAGAAAAAAACCAGACATGCCATCTAGTCTCCAGGGCAGGCAGGAGCGCAGGGCACAGCCTCACATGTAGCCTCAGGGAGGTCCCCTCCCCCCAGTCCCTGGGGCTGTGGGCTGCTCTGAGATCTGTCCTAGGAACCCTCCTATCCTTCTCTGGGGTGGGGAGCCTGGAGCTGCAGGAATGGGTGGGCCTCCTCTTCAAGGAAGAGTATTTTCTGGCCAGAGGCCACCCCTCCAGGTACCTGGCCACATCTGGCTCCCTTTTTGGCTCCCCTGTGTCCTGGTTGGCCCGGCTTTTCTGCCCGTGGCTCTCTCTGGAACACAGACTCCCAGGCTCCCCTTTCTGCCCTGAGTAACAATGAATAGCAGAGAGCCAGGGCGGGTCTTAGGGCTGGGGCCCTTCTCAGTTGTAATGTAAGGTTACTACTGTCAGGTCTGGGGTTGAATTTTGGACTGGGGTTGAGATTAAGGCCAAGTTCACCTTTAAGGACCTTTCTCTAGAGCAGTGATGGCGAACCTTTTGAGCTCGGCGTGTCAGCATTTTGAAAAACCCTAACTTAACTCTGGGGCCGTGTCACATATAGAAAATTTTTGATATTTGCAACCATAGTAAAACAAAGACTTATATTTTTGATATTTATTTTATATATTTAAATGCCATTTAACAAAGAAAAATCAACCAAAAAAATGAGTTTGCGTGTCCCCTCTGACACGCGTGTCCCAGGTTTGCCATCACTGCTCTATAGGGTCTCCCCTGAGTAGACCTCTCAGCCGTAAGGCTCGCTTGTGGGCCCCTGATGCCCGAGCAGGGCCGGGACCGTAGAAATGGGTGGTAGGTCCTGGGTGTGGGCGGGTCCAGGGCAGCAGCGTCCGTCTGCTGAGTGAAGTGGTGTCGGGTTGGGCTCTGGCTGACAGCTGTGCTGAGGTTGGAGGTGTGTTGGGCAGGAGACGTCTCGGTCTGGCTGGGCTCGAGCTTGCAGTGGTTATCAGCCTGGGAGGATCTGGGTCCGAGGACGTGTGGGTCTCTCTTCTGCTTGTGGTCCTCTAACTGTGGGAAAGCTGCTTAGGGCCTCTGTGCCTCCATTTCTCTTAAGCAAAAATGGTCTTTTACGATTATTTGCACCCACCTCTCACCTCTGACATCATGTGGGATTCGGTTCTGTGGGTCTGGACTCTGTCCGTGGCCTCAGTCCAGCTGACTGAGGGGAGCAGGCTTGCCTGAGCCAAGCTGAGCAGCAGGAGGGCCCCAGCTGCCTCTCATGTTTGTGGCGTGGACAGAGATGCTCGGGCTCCTGGAGCACCATCATGGCAGCTGACTGCCTGGCCGGCCCAGGGTGCGCTCTCTGGTTGGGGTTAGAAGTGCCGTAGGTGGGTCCAGGTATGGGGCCAGCATCCAAGTCACTTAGGCCGGTGGTGATTGGCTCTGTGGCCGCTCACCTGTTTCTGCTCACTTGTCACACGCACACTTAGATGATACAGCCTGATGTCCCTGAGCCACAGGCAAATGTAGTCATGAGTATTTATTATAAACCCTGTTGTTATCTAACTTACCTTCTCAGCAACCCACCCTCCACGAGTGATTATTAGTTCACGATTCCCGAGGGGGAAACTGAGTCACAGCCGGTTAACGGCAGAGCCTGTCTTCAGACCTGCACCATCCAGGAGTCTGTCCTCCCCACTCCCTCTGCACACATTCACTCCAAGGACACTCCCTCAGTGACAGATGCAAGTTGCCATGTCCATCCCAGCTCTGCCCATCTACCCCTTCCTCTTCCTCGGAAGGAGCCCACCTGCAGGGGTCTGCCAGGCTGGGACCTGTCACCCTCAGGGGACAGGACACTTGGGGCCTCCTGGCAGCTCCACCTGCCCCTCTAGACTGCCAGGCCTGAAACAGGACCCTGGCCTAGGAGCAGCCACCTTCAGACCCACGTCCCCCAACAACCCACGCACACACTCAAGCCCGTGTCCGCACGGACATGTGTCTGGAAGTGCCCTGAAGGTGCATGAGGGAGGCCCCCACCCACTCTCATGTCACATCTTCTCACCTGATCACATCTGACTCATGGACCTGGATGGAGCCTGAGATTCCGAATTTCTAAGGAGCTCCAGCTCAAGGTGAGCCTGCTGGTCCGTGGCCCACACTTCTGTCACAGGAGTCTAGAATAGGGCTTGGCAAACGATGCCTTGCAGGCCAAATCCAGCTCCAGTCAGCATTTTTTGTTTTTAAATTCAGGCTTTAAAATTGAGGATTTAAATTTCATTTAAAATTAAATTCACATAACATAAAATTAACTATTTTAAATGAAATAATTCAATGGTATTTAGTACATTCACAATGTTGTACAACCAATTCTATTGAATTCCAAAACATTTTTATCACCCCAAAGAAAACCCTATATAACTAAGCAATTATTCCACATTCCCCTCTTTCAACCCATGTCATTCACTAATATATTTTCTGCCTGTATGGATTTACCATTCTGGATATTTCATATAAATAGAATCAGACTATGTAACTCTTGTCTGGCTTCTTTTTGCTCAACACATTTTCAAGCTTTATGCAGATTGTAGAATGCATCACTGTTTCATTCCTTTTTATGGCTGAATAATATTTTTTATTTGTATATATGACATCTTGTTTATCCATTCGTCCTTAGGTGGACACTTGGGTTGTTTCTACCTTTTGGCTATTGTAAATAGCGTTGCTATGAACATGTGTGAAAAGTATTTGCTTGAGTACCTGTTTTCAGTTGTTTTGGGGTATATACTTAGGAGTGAAATTGCTGGATCATATGTTAATTCTGCATTTAACTGTTTGAGGAACAGTCAAATTGTTTTCCACCATTTTATAATTCCACCAGGAATGTGTGAGGGTTCTAAATTCTTCAGGTCCTCACCAAAACGTGTTCTTGTCATTTTTTTTTTAAATATGGCTATTCTAGTCTGAGCGAAGTGACATCTCATCGTGGTTTTCCAGTTGCATTTCCCTGATGCCTGTTGGTGCTGAGCATCTTTTCATGGGCTTATTGGCCACTTGTACTCTTCTTTGGAGAAGTGTTTGTTCAAGTCCTTTGCCCAGTTTTTAATTACTCATAGAATGAGTTAGGAAGTGTTCCTTCCTCTTCCATTTTTAGGAAGAGTTTGAGAAGAATTGGTGTTAATTCTTTAAATGTTTGGTAGAAGCAATCAATAATGCTATCTGATGCTGGACTTTTCTTTGTTGGGAGATTTGTGATTACTGATTCAATCTCTTGGCTTGTTATAGGCCTGTTTAGATTTTCTCTTTCTTCTGGAGTCAGTTTTGGAGATTTGTCCATCTCGTCTAGCTTATCTAATTTGTTGGCATATAATTGTCCATAGTATTCTCTCACATTCCTTTTGAATTCTCTAAGATTGGTATAACGCCTCATATTTCATTTCTGATTTTAGTTACATGTGTCCATCTTTTCTTTTTTTCTTAGTCAGTCTAGCTAAGGTTTGTTCAATTTTGTTGATATTTTCAAAGAAATAGCTTTGGTTTCATTGATTCTCTCTGTATCTCTAGTCTTTATTTCATTGATCTCTGTCCAACCTTTATTATTTCTTTCCTTCTGCTAGCTTTGGGTTTGGTTTGCGTCTTTTTTTCTAGTTCCTTAAGATACGTAATTAAGATATTGATTTTTGAGACTTCTATCCTTTTTAAACATAGGTGTTTTCAGCTATAAATTTTCCTCATAGTATAGCTTTTGCGGAATCTCATAAGTTTTGGTATGTTGTATTTTTGTTTTCGTTTTCACAAAGTATATACTAATTTTCCTTCTGATTTCTATTTTGACACATTGGATGTTTAAGATTGTGTTGTTTCATTTTCACATATTTGTGAAATTTCCTTTTTCCCCCTGATTTCTAGTTTTATTGTGATTGGAGAAGACACTGTGTATGATTTCAGTGTTATAAAATTGATTGAGACTTGCTTTGGTCTGTCCTAAGGAATGTTCCACGTGCATTTGAGAAGAATGTGTGTTCTGCTGTTTTGTGGAGTGTCCCCTGCCCTCCCCCCTGTTTTTCTCCGTATATGTATATATCGTGTTAGGTCTGTTGGTTCAAGTCTTTTATGTCCTTATTGATCTTCTCTCTAGATGTTCTATCCATTATTGAAAGTGAGGTGTTAAAGTCTTAAGTATTATTATAGAACTATCTATTTCTCTAAATGTGTCAATGTTTATTTCCTATTTTTGTTTGATACTCTGTTTGATGAATATATGTTAATAATTGTTAATCTATTTATGAATTGACACTTTTATCAACATAATGTCCTCTGTCTCTTGTAACACTTTTTATCTTTAAGTCTATTTTGTCTGATATGAATATAGCTACTAAGCTCTCTTTTGGTTTCTATTTACATGAAATATCTTCTTTTATCTTTTTACTTTAAACCTGCTTGTGTCTTTGGATCTGAGGTAATTCTTTTGTAAATAGCATATAGTTGGACCATGTTTTCCGAATCCTCATCTGCTTTTTAAATAAAGTTTTATTGGAACTCAGCCACAGCCCATTTGCTTCTATATGTTTGTGGCTATTTTTGTGCTGCGGCGGCGGCAGTGTTGGGTCCTGCAACAGAGGCTGTGTGGCTTACGAAGCTTGAAACGGCAACTGGTTCTTGACAGAAGTTTGCCAGCCCCTGGTCTAGATGCTCCCTCACAGTCTCCTGGGTGGAGTAGCTCCATGGCCCGTACAGCAGCACCTGGTGAGAGCTGTCACCAAATATGTGGCCTGGCCTGTCTCCCCTGAAACGAGCAGTTCTAAGACCTCGCCTGGCGACAGGAAGACCAGGCTCTGCCCCCGAAGCTCCAATTGCAGGCAGTTTGGAACGTGACCCAGTGGTAGCTTCGGGGTGGCCGACTCTCCTGGTTTGCCTGGGACGGAGGCAGTTCCTGGGACACAGGACTTTAGTTCTAAAATCTGAAAGCCTGGGCAAACCAGGACAAGTTGGCCACCCCATCTGGCTGCCAGAGCCTCACCTATGTGCCCCCCGCCCCCAGTACCGTTTAGGGAAACCCCCAGCTATGCCAAGCGGCGGCGGCTGGCTGGCCCCAGTGGCTTGGCCTCCCCACGGCCCCTGCAGCGCTCAGCCAGTGACATCAACCTGAAGGGCGAGGTGCAGCCGGCAGCCTCCCCGGGACCCACGCTGCGCAGCCTCCCCCACCAGCTGCTGCTCCAGCGGCTGCAGGAGAAAGACCGGGACCGTGATGGTGACAAAGAGAACGACGTCGGTGGCACTGAAGCAGGCAGGGGCAGCCAGAGCAACATCAGGTAGGAGGGTCGGGAGGCCCTGGCAGGGTCTGGGTTGGTGGGTGCCAGGACCCAAGCTGGGAGGAGCCAGCATGGGGGCGGGCAGGGAGAGGTCGACGGTGTCTAGCACCTGGTGGGCTGAGGCTTGGGGTGGGGACTCCCCCCATGGATCTCCCTGGATGAGGAAGGGAGAAGGTGAGGCCCTGTGGGCCGGGGCAGCTCCCCCATGTTCATCTCTGGTGGGAGCTGGACTTCCTCTGAGGACAGTGGGCAGCTGAGGGAGCATATAGGGGGGAGAGGTCTGATCAGACCTGTGGCCATACCAGGAAGGAGGGCTAGGTGGTGAGGGGTAGGGGTTATGGCTTCCGCTCCAGGAGAGCTTGAAACCTGCAGGTGGTCCTTAGCCCTGTCTCCAAGGGGAATCTTCATCTTCCTACCACCTCTCCAGCCAAGACACTGGTTCTTCTCTCCACCCTTTACTGTGAGCCGTGGGACCCTGAGGACAGGGGCATATGAGGCACTCGGCATCCCCAGGACACAGGACAGACACCTGGCTAGAGCCCCGCTGGCCGTTGCTGGCTGTGCAGTGGGGAGTGAGTGGGGCACTGGCTCTGCAGACAGATGGCCGGGGTCCATGCAGTCCTTGCACCTGCTGACCATAGGCTTGGACAGGTCAGCCAACCCCTCCGTGCCCGGGTTCTCATCGGTAAGGTAGGACTAATCCTACCTAAGTCATTTCCTTCTGGAAGCCTTCTGAATCTGGGCAGGTGAGGGGTCCCTATGAGAAGCCCCTGGCCCACAGTGCCGGCCAGCCGCCGCTGGTTAAGGCATCTCTCCTTCCTGCACCTCCAGGGCAGGAGCCATCGTTCCTTTTTTTAAAAATCCTCATCGGAGGACATATTTTATTGATTTTATAGAAAAAGGAAGATAGAGAAAAACATCGATGTGAGAGAGAAACATTGATTGGTTGCCTCCCGTACGCACCTAACCCAAGATGGAACTCGCAACCTAGGTATGTGCCCTGACTGTAATCGAACCTGCAACCTTCTGGTGTACGGGATGATGCTCCAAACAACTGAGCCAGCCACACTGGCCAGGGCAGGAGCCATTGTTCTAGCTTCCCAGTTTCCCCAGAGCGGGTCGTAGGGGAGGTGCTGGGGAGACACTGCTGAGTGTGTCACACAAACAGCTCTGTTTTCACAATGACAGCTGGGCTGCATCATCTAGCTCAGCGGTTCTCAACCTGGGGTCGCGACCCCTTTGGCGGTCGAACGACCCTTTCACAGGACCATCCTGCATATCAGATATTTACATGACGATTCTTAACAGTAGCAACATTACAGTTATGAAGTAGCAACGAAAATAATTTTATGGTTGGGTCACAACATGAGGGACTGTATTTAAAGGGCCAGAAGGTTGAGAACCACTGGTCTAGCTTAACCTTGACCCTGCCCAAGGCTGTTCTCTGTCAGTGCCGTTTTATGGATGAGGGTCCCCAAACTTCTAAGCCGGTGCTCTGCAGAGGGCTTGGGGTGCATCAGGAGCGTATAAAACCCACTCTATCACCTGTCATTCTCCTTGCTCGCGTAGCCTTGATTTGTGATGCCTTCTCTCTCTGAGTCCTTGCCCAGACTCCAAGGCTGCCTGTCCTGCCCCAAATCATCTCAGTTCTCCCTGAAGCTTTTGCATGTCCTGTGGATTTTTTTTAAGGGTGGGACAGTCCAGTGGCTAAAACGGGGGTGGGGAATGTCCAGCCCATGGGCGGTATAAGGCCCGTGAAATCATTGGGTCTGGCCCTGCCAAGGCATTGGGGGTGAGTTAATGAAATGTTTGACCAAATACAGCAGGCTCATTTTTAAGTTGATAATTTTGTATGGCCCGTGAATGATGTTATAAATATCCAAATGGTTCTTGGCAGAAAGAAGGTTCCCCACCCCTGGGCTGAAAGAACAAACTTCTGGGTGTTTCCGTTTTGCAGAGGGTCGTTCCTGCTTGGAGCTGTGTGGA